TAGTACCAAGCCTACTAAATATACAATTCCTCCTTCAAAACCCCGATCCTTTGATCTGAAATGACAAAATCACAAACTACACATTAGAAGACGTCATTCCAGAGGTGTTCTGGAGTTAAAAATAGCTGTTTACTAATACTTCCTTATAAGAAATTCCTTGTTCTTGGTTTTCCAGGATGAACGTGACAACTATTCTCAGCTTCTGAGACAGAGATGACAGCCTGACACGCCATTCACTGGAGAGGAAGAACTCTGAATTCAAAATTCCACTGCTGGACCGATTCCTAATAAACATTTCATCTGTCACTGTCTGAAATGCAGAACCAAGAAACACAGGATGGGGTAAAAGGCGGACTGAACACAGTTCTGAGAATGTCGCCCAGAATCAGCCTCGTGCCCTGTGTGTCTCCTCTGGGGGTAGGAGACAGTGGTGCCCAGGCTGGCGGGGGTGGGGGCGGGGGGGAGTGCCCGTGGCAGCTCATGGCCAGGTTGCCATTTTAGCAGGTCTGGACAGTGGCCAGACGCTAGGCGCCAAGCTGCCCGCTGCCCGCCCCGTGTCAGCCCCCAAACACATCTTCCTGGGGGGATGCCTGCCAGGCTACCAGACGTGCAGAAAGGGGCTGCCACCCCCCGCCGGAGATGCTACTTTGTCAGAGGCCGCCCAGCTGCCGCCCACGTCCCAGGGGATCTAGGCTCCCAGCATTACCACGTCAGTCAACCCGGTGACTGCCTCGGCCTACAGTGCTGCCTGGGGAGGCCAGGCGTGGGCACCAGTGGGGCAGGAGTTGGCCCTGTCCGCTCCAGGTGTCCGGTTCACCCCCTTCCACCCGCGGCGGGCAGGATCCGAATGCTTGGACTATCTGTAGCCGACACCAGACCCATCTTCCCTCCTCTTCGCATTCTGTCAATTGGCACCAACATTCTCACTCTGGGACCCGTTCCCTCTGCTGGGTTTCTGAAAGTCAGTCAGGAAGCAGTGCGGCACAGGGCCTTCCGGCTTTCCCTAAACACCCCGCACAGGCGGGCGGCGAGACCTGCCCAGCTAGAAGCTAAATGTCCCGCTCCCATATGCAAACTGGCAAACTGGCAGGCTTCCAGCTTCTTAATGACTTTCTCCCTCCAAAGATCTGAAAAGGGTCTGAGCAGCCAACACCGCTGAGATTTAATCAGAGCCTCTGTTTATACACGTTTTTGAGAAGCAGCCACCAAAATAATACATTGTTCTGCTTTTAGAACAAAACAAGAGTTAAAAAAAAGAAGAAAGAAGTTAAAAAAAAGAAGTTAAAAAAAAAAAAGAAACTTTCAAACGTTTCAGTGGAACTGACTGCAAAGACAGAATCTGAATCCAGTCATGATAATATGACATTTTTCTGAAACTCTTAACTGGCGATGCTATATTTAAATACTAACACTTATCTTACCCGCTAACGTTTTTGTACTCAATTGGCTAAATGAATTCTCCACATCAAGACATGAGCTTAAGAACCCACTTTCCCCTGTTCCATTTTATTTAGAAAGTCAACGGCTCATGTTCTGGTACCAGACAAATGGTTGTTAGCTGGAGAGAGAACGTGGCCTCAGGGTGGGCTGACACTCTGCCTTCGCCCCAGTCAATGTGTCTCCTGCAAGTTGCCTAGATGCAGGGCCCAGAGGGCATATCCCCTCTGACGCTGAGCCCCATCTGACTCAGTGCTTCTGCCCACTGCTCTCCCTGTGCCCTAGGTTTTGGGGACACATGTGCTCCTAGCTCTGCACTCAGGGATCATTCCTGGCGGTACATGGGGGACCACATGGGGTGCCGGGGATTGAACCCAGGTCGGCAGTGTGCAAGGCAAGTGCCCTCCATGCTGGAGAATGGCTCCGGCCCTGCCTTTGCCTGGCTTTCGCATCAGCCTTTCCATAACGGACATGTTCCTGGCTGATCCCCTGCCCGAGTCCTCCCAGGTCACCTGTAGGCTGCTCTCCCACGGGGGCTCTAGCACCAGCCAGGACAGGGAACCGTATCTCCCCTCAGTGGAAATGAGCCCACAATCAGAACAGGGCCACAGTACAGCGGGGGGTGGGGGGCCTCCTCACAGGCTACTGCTGGAGGGTCCTGTGACCTCCGAGCAGAGCCAGTACTCGACATGGGGAGGAAATGGCCCTCAACCCAGAGGGCTGGCCACCAGGCATCCCACATGGAGCTGGACCCAGGAAGGTGGAGGCTCCCTGCAAGCTCAACTCTTCCAAAAAGACAACAGCCACCTCCTCTGTCCCTGGTGTCCTTTCAACGCAACCATCACCACCAATTTATGCCAGGGGGTGCGAACGAGCTGAGGGGAAGAGATGAAACTGGCATTATATTGAAGACTTCTGTCTGAGAGCCAATTATTTCTTATTTTTCTGAATGCTATTATATGGATGGGCTCAGTTTTTCTGGGATCTTTTTATATATAAAACGATCATTTAAGGGGCTGGAGAGACCACAGCGGGTAGGGCGTTTGCCTTACACGCAGCTGACCCAAGTTCGATTCCCAACATCCCTTATGGTCCCCTGAGCACCGCCAGGGGTAATTCCTGAGCACAGAGCCAGGAGTAACCCCTGTGCATCACCAGGTGTGACCCAAAAAGAAAAAAAAAAGATCATTTAGGGGCTGGAGCCATAGCACAGTGGGTAGGGTGTTTGCCTTGCATGCAGTCAACCCAGCTTTGATTCCCAGCATCCCATATGGTCCCTTGAGCACCGCCAGGAGTAACTCCTGAGTGCAGAGCCAGGAGTAACCCCTGTGCATTGCTGGGTGGAAAAAAAAATCATTTAATTCGGGAGGGGCGAACTGCCAAGAGATGCCCAGGGGGACCGGGGTTACTGTGGTGAAACCCAGTGAAGCTGGCCAGTGGTTTGATGGAGGGCTGAGAATGCAGCGCCTCATCACTGGGCCCTCCCCAGAAGTGCTTGGAGACACTGAAGGATGCTCAGAGCCTCTAGGGCTCACCTGGCAGTGCTTGGGAGGCCACGTGGTGTTGGGGATCACACCTGTGTCAGGCACATGAGAGCCCCTCCCCACCAGGCCACTGTACTGCCTCCTTGTCCCTGTAAAAGAATCATTTAGTCTTCAACGGATATATTAGAAAAGTACAATGGAACAGAAACAGATTTCCGGAGTAAGATTCTCTATTTACAGAGATAAAGGTTTTATTTATCTTCGTATCAAAATGTTATTGAATTTCTTGATTCCCTAGGAAGACACGAGTAGCTTTTTGCACCTATGGCATTTGTGGAGTTATTTATGCAGTATAAATCAGGTAACAGTGATAAGCCGAGGGGAAAAAAGCAGTTATATTTCAATTTTTAGTTTTCCAAAATAAGCATCTTGAGGCACTCAGGGCTTACACCTGGCAGGTCTCAGGGGACCATATGCAACACCAGGGATTGAACCCAGGTCAGCTGCGTGCAAGTCAAGCACCCTACTTGCTGTATTGTACCTCGGGCCACTAAAATATACATCTTGGGGTAGGAGAGACAGTACAGGGGTAGGGTGCCTGCCTTCTATGCGGCTGACCCGAGTTTGATCCCTGTCATTCCATATGGTGCCTCGAGCACCACCTGTAGTGATTCCTGAGTGCAGAGCCAGGAGTAAGCCCTGAGCACACTGGGTATGACCCAAAACAACAACAACAAAAAGCATCTTTAATACACCAAGCTACTTAGGTAGGATCTTCGTCTGCACTGAGGTTTTTGTGAGGAAAATGTTTTAGTGAAGAAAGTTTGCTTAGAAACTGCTAACAGCGGGGGCTGGAGTGATAGCACAGCGGGTAGGGCGTTTGCCTTGTACGTGGCCAACCTGGGTTCGACTCCCAGCATCCCATATAGCCCCCTGAGCACCGCCAGGAGTCATTCCTGAGTGCAGAACCAGGAGTAAACCCTGCGCATCACCGGGTGTGACCCAAAAAAAAATAAATAAATAAAAAGAAACTGCTAACAGTTCAGTGACTGTGGTCAAACCGTCGGTCAGTGGGTAGATGTAATCTTTTCCTGCTTGCCTTCAGTGACGATCACTGCGCTCCATCCACTGTACCAGAAACTTAGCGGATGAGAGCCAAGTCTACTGGAAGAGACGTGAAGCTGTCTAAAGTTATTTGTTCTGAATGCACCACTAAGTCACAGTCTGAAAAACACCACTATAAATACTTTTAGGTCCTGTTAGAATAATTCCCATATTGAATGGGAATGAGAGAAAAACTTCATATGACCTGGCATGTTTCTTTCAGACTAATCCAATCCAAGACTCCTCCTTGCTTCTCTCATTACAAACCTGAATTTCACAAGCATCAGTGAAAGTGGTTTCAGGCTGGGTCAGCAACAATCAGCAGTGAACAAAGATTCGGTAACAGACCGGTCCGAACACATGCTCTCTGTACACTGCTAAACGTTTTTCTCAAACCACAGTGAAGAAATATTTTGAGAACAAATCTAAATGGCCACGAAGATGGGGACAGGAGAGTCTGGGGGAGAGAGAGGCCAACAAGCTGCGAACAGAGAAGAGAAAGCCAGTCTCTGAGGCAGCAAGGACGGCCAGGAAAGGGGACCGGGAGCCAGCTGCCACAGGGCCGGGCCAGGCGAGTGTTGGGAACATCCGCTCCCCACACATGCTGCCTCTTCACTGCAAAGCGCCAAGGCACACGAGGCTCCAGAGGTAAAGGGTTCATGAGAAACCTTCTCTGTAGGATTCTGCAGGGACAGATTTTCACTTGCTGAAGTGCAGACCATTAGTTACCAGTAAATAACACAATTAGCTGGGCTGGCGAATACATTTGAACACAGACGAGAAATAACTACGGAGGAAGAGACAGAGCTAAATGATCAATTCAGCTGCCACAGGCGGACCCGCCAGCGAAGCCAGCACCACTTCACAGATACAGTGAGCCAGGGGCAAAGCACCATCCATTTCCTTGGGGAAGCGGCCAAGTGCAGCTGACGCGCCCGTTCTCAGAGAATAGGCGGCCGAGCTCTGTGCTTTTACCTGGTGGGAGCGTACTGGGCTGCGGCTGCGTTCCAGCTCCAGGGAGGGGAGGGGGACTGGCCCTGGTGGGCCCAGCACTCTGGTTTGGGCTCACACTGGCCAGAGCCCCGGCAGGCAGTGGCTGACCTCGCTTTAACAGCTGCTTCTGTTCTTGCTGGCGGAAGCGTGGAGGCACCTCCCGAGGCAGGTAACGGGATGCAGCTGGCTGCTGGCCACTGGCCGCCGCACGCTTGCCATTGCTGCTGCTGCTGCTGCTGCTGCTGGAGAGAGTGCTGGTGGAAGTACTGGCACCGGTACCGGCAGGTTGGGGCTGGCTTGAGCAGGTCTTAGTAGGTTCTGGCACTACAAGAAACAAAATAAAAAAGAACCCAAAACTTTAGTAAGGCCACCTGAACAGCCGACCAAGAAACAGCCGAAACTGGCAAGGCCACGTCGGGGCGTGCTTTTCCTACGGCGGATGGCGCCCTCCAGCAGCGGCTCCCGCGGCGGCATCAGAGTGCTCGCACGGCCAGAGTCCAGAAAGGTCTCCATGCATCAGCGCAGTGCTGACTGGGCCAGTCTGACAAGTCCCCGAAGTGCACTGTGAGGACCTGTCTCGGTTCTCCAGACATCCACTCTCACATATTGTTATTTTCACGCTGGCGACAATGCACCGAAGCACGGGTGGGGTGAGCTGTCTGTGGCGGCGGCTCCTACGCTCCCCCCAGACGCTTGGGCAAGCATGCAGGGCCCCTGAGCCACTGCACACACAATGGGTTCAAGGCAGTTTGAAGAGAGAAAAGGAGCCCAAAGCGGACAGGATGTGCGCAGCAACCCTGCAGGCAGAGGGCAGAGGGCGGGAGGTGCCCAGTCTCCACCTGTCATCTGGTGCCTGGAGCGGGATCTTGGAGATGGCAGTGATAGTGCCGGGAAACTTACTTCCCCAACGTTTCCAAATACCCTGGGTTTGAGAGTTGAGCGAGGGCCACTCAGTTTAAGAGAAAGAAAGAAACCGGGGTCCGAGCAAACAGGAGCAGACCAGGACCCCTTCCACAGGAGCGCTGGGGCCTGGTCGAGGGATTCAGCGCCAGGCTCAGTCTGCCACCTGGAGAAGGACGGCCGGACCACCTCATCCTCTGTGGCACCGGACAGGACAGATACGGGACACAGCTTTCCATTCTGTGGGGCCACTTTACCTCAGCCCCCTGGGATGCTCTCCCTGGATGTCCAATGTCCTTGGTCTTGGTAGAGATGGGAAATTGTTTTTGTACTTACTTTCTTGGTTTGTTACTCCCGGCAGTGCTTGAGGACCATATGGGATTCGGGGGATCAAACCCAGGCCAACTGCATGCAATGCAAGGCCTTAAGCCCTCCAATGAGTAATCTCTTGCCCTACCCTTCACTTTAAGGTTCTCTATCTTAAGCGCAGCAGCACTGAGTTTATCTTTCTTCTGTTGTGTGTGTTGGGTGAGGCCCTCCCAGGTAGTGCTCAGGAGGTCAGGGGGGCCTAATGGCGACTCTCAACCTGGCCGGCATTTCACTGCTCAGGTCCCGTGGCCCTGGGGATATCCAGGCGCCCCTGGGGATGCTGTGGGCCTCCAGCCAAACCCCGTGGCACTCCAGGATCAAACCTGGGTCTACCACATGTCTGAACAGCTGTACTATCTTCCAGGCTCAAGCCATTATGTCTTTTTAATTTAAAGAAGAAAGTTATGCTAAAAGTAATCTATAGACCAAACATGATTGCCACTCAATGCCTCTCTTGCAAAACACAGTACCCAAAAGAAGAGAGAGAGAACAAGGCGGAATACCCTGCCACAGAGGCAGGGTGGGATGGGGGGGATGGGGGGTGGGGGGAATGCTGGGACCCGTGGTGGTGGAGGATGGGCACTGGTGGAGGGATGGGTACTTGATCATTGTATAACTGAAACCCAAGCACAAAAATTTATAAGTCTATAACTGTACCTCATGGTGTTTCACTAATAAAAAATTTAAAAAAATAAAGAAGAAAGTTATACAAGTTAGTCTAGATCCTTTTGGGATGTATAAGGAACTTTATATATATATGTAAATATATGGAGAGATATATTTTTAAACCTAAATTAACAGAAATTCTTAAATACCCAAATGATCTAAAAACATAAGCAAAAAATGCATAGCAGTATTTGCTGAAACTTTATTATTTTTTGTTTTGTTTTGGGGTCATAAATAAAACTCCAGCAGTACTTAGGAGTTCCTCCTGGCTCTGTGACTAGGGATCACTCCTGGTAACCTCAGGGAACCACATGGGGTGCTGTGCATCGAACCAAGGCTGGCTATGTGCAAAGCAAGTGCCCTACCTGCTGTACCATCTCTCCAGCTCCTGAAACTTTATTCTTAATTACCCAAATTGGACTGGATCGACAGCACAGTGAGTAGGGCATTTGCCTTGCACGCAGCCGACCTGGGTTTGATTCCTCCATCCCTCTCGGAGAACCCGGCAAGCTACCGAGAGTATCCCGTCTGCACGGCAGAGCCTGGCAAGCTCCCCGTGGTGTATTCGATATGCCAAACACAGTAACAACAAGTCTCACAATAGAGACGTTACTGGTGCCCGCTTGAGCAAATTGATAAACAACGGGAGGACAGTGCTACAGTGCTACCCAAACTGGAAGTAAACAGATCTTCTGTAGGTGAAAAACAATCTGGTGTGCCCAGAAACACGGGGCAGACATCAGAGGGCAGGGAAGGAATAGGCAATACATGAAACTACATTAGCTGCTAGGGTGAAGATGCCACAGACTTTATGATCACACCTATAGAACATCCTGGAAAAGACAAAACTATAGAGACAGCAAAAAAATAACCAGGAGCTACCAAGGGCTTGGGGGAGGGAAGGATGAACAGGTGGAGCACAGAGGACTTTTAGGGGCAGAAGTGTGGGGCACTGTAACAGTAGACACTACACATTGTGTATCCGTCAAAAGCTATTATACAATACAAAGAACAGACAAATGCCAAGTCTGAACTTAGTAATCAGGCATCAGCACTGTCCCAGCCACTGTACCAGGAGAAACGAAGGCGACGGCAGGGTGGGGAGGAACAGACAGGAAGCAGCGTTTGCTGCTCAATCTTTCTGGAAACCCACAACTGCTGAGAGTCTGCTGGCGTGGCTTTGCACGTGGTCCATACATGGTCCCGAGCACCATCAGGAGTGCCCCTGAGCACAGAGCCAGTTTGCAGGCTCTGAGCACCACGAGTATGCCCCCCAAGAACCGATAAGCGGTTTATTAATAAAAACCTGCAACCAACCATGCTGCCCAGGTGACGGCAGCACCGAGAGGCCCTTCCCTGCAGCTCTGCATGTGGCCGAGAGCAGGGAAAGCTGAACTAGAGCAGAACACACAAAACTGCTGCAGTTTACTGACACTGGGCCACCGGCATGCCGGCAGCCCAGGACGTCACACACGGGGGTGCAGCTGGTTCTCGGGGGTTACTCCTGACTCTGTGAGTTACTTCTTAGGAAACTCGGCTTATGAATTCAATTACTACAACATCCAAAAGCCGCGGAGGCAGAAGGAAAGGAGTGCGGGAAGGAGGGAGGGTGGGGTGGGGAGGAAGGACTGTCATCAGGGAGCTTTGGAGCTGTGCCCGCCCATTCTCTTCTGTCACCAGTGACACTGGGCAGCATGTGATCAGAGACAGGAAGCGCCTTTCACCTGTCATCCTGATTTCAAAGGAAACATGCCTGCACTCAGATCTCAAGGTAATGACGAGCAAGAACTCAGACAGTGGCAGCAAGCTGGCAGGCCCCTCTGGGAGACAGAACCCCAGCCCTGGGAGCTACCCAGTGCCCACCCCATGGCTCGTCTAAGGCAGCCCACTCCCTCCCATGCACCGCTGGTCTCTCTCTGGGGCACATTCACCGCTGCTTTTCTTCCAAACATCTGGTGGAGATGGAAGCATGCAAACATGAACGCATGTACATGGGCCCCCGGTTTCGAGCCTAATTCCAAGACATCTGCATACGTCTCTGTCACTGTATTGATGGCCTGTCGCAGTGCAGGCAGTCAGCTTTATAGCTAGCACTGCCTCACCAGAGAGTCAAAGGATTCCTTTTTCCTTTGCTTTTCGATTTTTGGGTCACACCCAGAGATGCTCAGAGATCATTCCTGGCTCTGCATTCAGGAATCACTCCTGGTGGTGCTCAGGCAACTGTGGTGCAAGGCAAGTGTCCTCCCCGCTGTACGATCTCACCAGCCTTAGAGTCAAAGTATTCTTTTTTTTTTTGCTTTTTGGGTCACACCCAGCGATGCTCAGGGATTATTCCTGGCAGTGCTTGGGGGACCATATGGGATGCCGGGGATTGAAACCCAGGTCGGCTGCATGCAAGGTAAACGCCCTCCCAGCTGTACTGTCGCTCCGGCCCGAGTCAAAGTATTCTAAATCCGCCTTCCCATTCCCCCGTTCAGAACCAGGGCTGAGCAGCCAGGAGACCTGGAGAGGGCGGACAGGACTGAGGACTGTCTCTCGGAGAACGCACAGGGCCTGCAGTCTATCCTCTGTAGGACAGGGGGTAACTCCTGGGGTGGAGACGAGAGGAGCTCTCTGTAATATCACACAGGGCATTAGACATGGAGCTCTGAGAGGGAACAGGAAACCTCAGTACTCTATCTCAAAGTTTTATAGGTTGTGGGCTACAGCAGTGGTGCTCAGTGCTCGCACTCCTGGCTCTGTGCTTCATGTGGTTCAAACCTCTGTGTGTGTGTGTGTGTGTGTGTGTGTGTGTGTGTGTGTGTATGTGTGTGTATGGGGGGTGGAGAGAGAGAGAAAGACAGAGAGAGGGAGAATGAAATACAGTAGGGTTAGTTGCCTGCTACAATGCTACCACACATACAGTCACAAGAGACCAAGGACTCTGTGGACAAAGCAGGCGCTCTGCCCTTGGCTTACCCACCTGTCCATTTCTTTGAAAATGTGGATGCTTCTGGAGAGGGCATTTGCCTTGCACATGGCCAACGTGAATTTTATTTCCAGCACATATATGGTGCCCTGCCAGGAGTGATCCTTGAGCATAGCTGGGTGTGGTCCCCAAACCCAAACCCAAACCCAAATCAACCAACCAACCAAAATACCCTTATTCTGGACCACAGTGACAGCACAGCAGGTAAGGGCATTTGTCTTGCATGTGGCCGACCCACAGGGTCAATTCCCAGCACGGCATAAGGTCCCTGAGCTGCACTAGGAATGTTCCCTGAGTGCACAGTCAGGAGTAAACCCTGAGCACCACTGGGTACACCACTGGGTGCAGAACCTCCCCAAAAGACAAATGAAAGTAGGTAAACCGTGGATGCACTCCGTTCCCGTTGTCACTACAATGATGG